AGTGAAAGTTTAATACCACTTGATGTTTAAAAATAATGACAATTGCATTTCAACGTTGGAATTTAATATCCATCCAGCATAGTGTAAATATTTTTTAGTCAATAATATTATGTCAACTAAAGCCTGAACCAGTTAACTTTACATCTAGATTTGAATACTTTAAAATCATTTTGAACTCCAATCACTACATTATGGAATAAGATAAGAACCAATGATACTGCAGGACCTGTAATTATCAAAAAGGTTCAGAGACAAAGCAACAGATCATTGTCATTGAAACTTAGTACTTCCTTAGATATAAAGCTCATACTGAATTATGAATACCTTAGTTGAGAAGTTATCAAGAATCAAATGTGGATATGCCTCAGGCATAGTTCCAATGGCTTTCTTGTCTTTAATTTCATGCCTTGTAACCTGTACGAAACAACAGATTAGCATATTTTCCTCTAAAATCAATATGAAACATTGTAAGACTAATACTTGCCACATTGAGTAATCCAAAATATGCAGTTGGACCAAATGGTAGATGGCAAACAATTAAACCATCTGGTACACCACGATGTTCATGAACCAAAACAACATCAGTATAGTCATGTGCACGACAAGATTCTATAATCTCTGAGATAACCTGAAATGAAAAGGAAGATTGCATAAACCATTAGGCAATTTGCTCAAGGAGTCAAGAATTAGATGTTGACATGTTTTAGCAAGAGTTGAAAATAAAGCTAATTACAGAAAGCCATCTGACATTCTAGATTGAAAAAAATGGCTTAATGAATGCAACTAAATTGAAGCAGAGATGCGCTGAATAATAGAACCTAGTGGTGTGGATGTTATTCATGTACTGCCTTCAATTGTGGCGTTGGAATATTAATTTCCTTAACAAGAAGCAAGAGGAGTAAAGTGTGGTCTCACCGAAAGACCCCCACGCATACATACTATTCAAAATTAAATTATATTAACTTCACAGGCCTGAACGACGGAGGCAAGTAATGAAAAAGGGTGTAATGGGTACAAATCCATAGTGATCTTCTTTGACTGAGATTCTTTGCATATTTTCTCTAACCCGTTGAGAATTTGTACTCAGTTCTTTTGGTTTATTTACTTCTAGCAAATATTTAAAGTTTTGTATGCATTCTCCGGATAGATAGATGTTCCTTTAAGCAAATTTGGAATTTGGAAATCCAAAACTCACTCCAAGGTCAAGATTCTGTGTTTGGAAAGCAACAGAATTCGTAAAGCACACATATGCAGATTTGTAGACCTCACATAGCACTTTTAAACTTATGTATTACGTGAACATCTAGTTTGGAAAAAACACTGCATTTGAGCAACTACTCTTTACGAGATAATTAATTTGAAACTCATGGAGTTGCTGAGCACTAGGAGTGCCATTTCAGTATCGTGTTCAGACAATGTGCTCGACATAACACAAAAAACGCAGTAGCCAGAAAGATGAAGGGGCATGTATATGCCTTTATTGGATTGTCTTCACAGTATCTATAGGTAAATTGAAGAAGCCTCTCTTTTCTTATCCTATCCTGGTATTTCTCTTATTTCTAATTAAAAACATAATTTCTTATCTAAATCATATGACCAAAGAAACCACCAAATAATCAGATCATGATGTCACAAACATGTAGAATGGGACAACAGATGATGAATAATTAAAGACACCAACCTGACCACCACGATTCATGCGCTGTGCATTAGGAAAAACAAAACTCAGCTCCTGCACAAAAGAATTGAAGATCACAATGAACAAGAGTACTTGAAGTAACAAGCAAAAAAGTAGAAAAAAAAAATTGGTTTTATAAACAGAATTGAAACAAACAAACACCACACTCATCAAAAGCAAGCAAACCTTTACAAACTGCTGAAGAGGAGCGCTTGGATCCCTGGAAGTGGTCAACAAAATCTTGGGATCCTTTTCCGCAGCATAAGCATACTCATCATCAATGTGCGTTCTTGGAACTGAATTCAATTATAAATCCCATCAAACCCCATATTGAAACACACAACAAAAGGATACATGGCACAAACTTGGATGCATTAAAACAAATTTTTCCACAAGAACTTCTAACAGAAGAAAATTAGAAAGAAAAATAAAATAAACTTCTCTATAAATTAAATTAGTTTATGGTTGGCTAAGTGTCTCCACAAATACTTCAATAACACAAAAATAAAAAGGAAAAACACAATTTTTAACTCATGTGCAAGCTAATTTTAGCTTGTGGACAACTTTATTTCATTTTGTGACATCTTAGATTCTCTCCATGTGCATAAACCAAACAAACACTTAAAAACCATTTAAAGTTATTACTTTAAAAAAAAAAGAAAAAAAAAACATGAAGAAACATAACATAGAGCGTGACACCACTTACCAGCAGTGTTTTCATCTTCAAGGTCGATTTGGCGTCGAAGTGCAGCTTCCTCATTTCTGAGTTCAGTGGGAATGGGTTTCCCTTCTGCAAAAACCAAACAAATAAATAAATAAACATAATTATATGAGAAATAATTATTATTATTATCATAATATTGAATATGAAACGCAAGAAAAACAGAAACCTTGAAGCGCTTCTCTGATTTTGCGTTTCTTTTCATAGAGCAAGCGCTCTTTGCCTTCTAAGCTCTTTCGGTACAAATACTCTCTCCTCAATCGAATGTTTCTACGCAGCATGTTCAACACACTCACAGAACGAAACGGCGCCGTTCAGAGATGGAGAAAAACGAAGAGGAATAGGTGTGGAGCGGCGCGGGAACAGAAGAGAAGAAAGAAGTGAAGAAAAGAGAAGGGATACCGTAAGAGCAAAACGACCTTCGTTTTGGATCTCGATTACCTGAACTTAAAGAATATATGTATTCACATATACAGCTAATAGATGCCGTTGGATTAAACGAGTTTAGAAGAGATATTTAATACGAACCTAGTGAGACCCATCCAACGGTTTGGATCTAAAGATATCTTGTAAATTTATAAATAAAAAAAAAACAAATTCTTAAATTTTTAAATCTATCTTTTTTTTCTCTTATGAAATTAAAAATATATATTTTATATAAAACAGATATAGAGGACAGATTTTCTCATTTCATCTACACATCTTATGTTCTTATTTTAATATTAATTATGTTTTAGAATTAAAATAAAATATACTACTATTAAAAGTAATTATACACTTTCATTTATTCTTATTTTCTATATAAAATGTATAAAGTAAATTCTATCAGTATTCTGTTGTTTTTTAAGATTACGTATATTTTTTTACCTTTTTTTATGTTTACAACAGTCTACCTTGTAAAAGTAGACAATGCAATATTTTCTTAAAATAACTATTTAAATATTCTTTGTCGACATTGAGTTGATTATTTATAATATGTATATTATTATTGCATAAATACCAATGCTTCTTCTTATAATTATATATATGTATAATCTTAAATAAATTTTATTTATTATGCATAAATAAGATCAATAAATATATAATATAGTATACATTATATTATATGTTCTAATATTTAATTATACAAAATTAAATATTTTAAATGCTTAATTGTGTTTAAAATATAGGTAATTGCTCACCACTCTTACCCCTTAAACATGCTCTTCAACCTTATTAGTCTCATCATCTTCTCAGTAACATCACAACTATTATATAAATAATTATGTTTAAATAGGGTATATATAATTATGTTATTGAAGTATTTTGTAAAACAAAAAGTAATCATATAGAATATGTTTAACTACACATGTTATGTAGGTTTTTTTTTTCTTTCTAATGTATAATGGGTTTATTCGCACCTTTCTTCTCATTATCTATCTTTCCTTCCCACAATCTATTAAATTCTTTTTTTATTTCCTTATTTTGCTTTATTATGTTTTATTTTACTTTTTTTTTACATCAATATCTTTTTATGTGAATTTTGCATTGTTTAAAATATTATTAAGAGTAAAATGAATATATATATATATATATATATATATATATATATATATCGCTATAGATTATAGGTATATTAAAAATTTACTAATTCTAAAATTTAATATATTTTTTAATACATATCCATTTCTATAATTTATTTATATTTTATGTGGTTTTTGTATAAATTTAAGTTTTATTGAAGAAAATTAAATTTAGAATAAGAAGAATTTGCATTCATTGATCGGAGAAAAACACAGATGGGAAGCGAGAGAATAAAAACCTTGGAAGTTATAAAAGATAAATGAAATATTCACTCTTAAAGTTAATAGGGAATGAGAGAAGGTCGAAGAGAAAAAAAAGTAATTTTACATAACTTCAAATGATATATTAAAAAGTAAAATATGCACACTAAAAATATCTATTTGCATTTCGATCACGATCTTTTATTTATATAATGCATAATTTAATTTTTATTTTTATTTTAATAATTAGTTTTTTAAAAGAAAAACACACTTTTTTTTTTGTTTAACATCCATGGTAATACCATTATTTTTCATTTAGAGTTTAAGTTGAGCTCTTTTTCTTGCTATAAAATAAAGTAGAGAATTATTTGTTTAAATAAAAGTTTAAAGAAGGAGCAAAGTTATAAATTGTGTGTAGTTATCTAAGTGGATAAAAATAACATTTTGAGGTGATTTTTAAAGTAGTGTGTATATCAATTAGAGTAATCTATTTATTATTGTTAAATTTTTAATACATATATTTTACAAAATTATATTTTAACAGTGTAGTTAATAAATTTAAATAGTTTTTAAATCCATATGGATTCATCTTACTTCTCAAAAAGAAAAAGTTAGTTCTAAATAGAACATTGCAATAATTCATTGTAATTCTTATCATTAACTAAAATTAGGCTAAAAACAAGTAGAATACTAAATAAGATTAAAAAAACAATAATATTTTTAAACTAAAATAATTAGATTAATTTTAAGTATATAATTTAATCAAATAATATGCATTTAACATGAATAAGATAATTACAAGGGAGTTATATGTTTAATATATTTTCTTTGTACATCAGAGACTAAATAGTAACAGTAAGTGAGCGAAGAACACTATGATGTTATTACAGTATTCTATGAACAGTAGACCAAAAAAGAAACAAGTTTGAGACAAAAGGTAATTCAAGAAACTGAATGAATCAATCTTGATACACTACTAAACTTTTTAACTGTCTTCTGGTAAATGGCTCATCAAAAACAAAGGTAAAACACAAGCATGTACACCAAAATAATGTAAATGAATGAAGATCAAAACCAGATCATTGCCACAGAATTGTACATAGAGAAAGGCTTGTTTTAAAAGTAACTTGACTGAGATTGCAAGAGCTCAAGCTCAGCTAAAACTTTTGCAACTGTTGACTTCAATCTAGAATCACTCTTTTGAGCAAGATCAATAAGAACCACCTGAGCAGATTCTCCATATTTAACTCTATGTTCTGCAACTTTGAATATTCTCTCCAGCATCCATATTGCTTTTTCTTGAACCTTTGCATCGCCAACTTCAAGACTTTTTATGATGGCTTGCACACCAGATAACTTGGCAATGCAACTGACACCACCTTCCCAGATTTCATCTTGCAGAAGAGTTGAAAGAGCATGCAAAGCAGCTTCAACTGCTTCTCTCTCAGTATCTTCCAACAGTTGGATGAGGGGAGAAACAGCATCTGCCTTCACCAAACAAAATGTGCTGTTTACAAAGCAAAATCCATCATGAACTTCACAAAATGCATTCACCGAGGGAGGAACACACAACCACCTTGACTTTCTAGACTTTCTAAGAGACAGAGAATTCTGAGATAGTTGAGCCAGTGAGACTGCAGCCCTTGCTTTTGTGATTGGTGAACCGCTTGAGAGCAGTTTCACAAGCAAAGGAATCACCCCTTGTTCGGCTGAGAGAAGTTGTAGTTTTTTGTCAGAGGAATTGGTGAAGCGAATGATAACACTGGCAATACTCTCTGCTAAGCTATTTGTTGTGGATGAGTTACTTCCTGAGATAGTATACATGATGGATATTAAAATTGGCAGCAAATTTGCCCTCTGCAGTATATCAGTCACCTTTTTGTTACTAGCAGGAAGATTACTCAGTATGCCAACAGCGGCAGCTCTTTCACTGTCTGATGTTGATGTTGAGACTATATTGACTATGTTTAAGAGGTGAGTTTCATCAAGATGTTCAGTTAACTCATCTGTTAGATCTTTAGAGAGAGTGTACAAAAGATGCAAGACCTTGCTCCTGACTTTGGTGGTGTTTTCCTTCAGAAAGGGTAAGAGAAGCTGAAGTGCACCTTTTTCCTTCATTTTGCTTCTCACTCTGGATGCACCAGGGTGGGAGGCTATGTTATTTAGAGCTTCTAACAAATGGCCCTGGATAATGGGGCTGGAAAGATTCAAAAGTGAAAGCATCTGCTGAGCCACATCTTCATTCACAAGGATGGATTCAGACTGAGCAATTCTTGCAAGAATGGCTGATGCAGGCTCACGCAATGTCATGAGCACAGATGTAACTGAGAAAAGAAGTTGTAGCAGAGATCCTGAAATTCCTGATCTGATCAAACGCTGCACATTTTCTGCCACGGTTGACAGATTTTGCAGCGCATTTAGAGCTGATAACTTGGACTCCAGTTTCCCTGTGCTGAACATGTTGACAAGGGGCTCAATTGCCCCATCTTCTCCAAGGGAAAGCTTACTGTGATCAGGGAGTTCCAACCTTGAAAGTGCTGTCGCCATTAGAATCTTGTTCATGTCAGATCCTACAATAACAAGGTTGCAAATTCAGATACAGGAAATGCAGAATCAACTTGAAAATGATCGCCTGTCTAAGGACTTAAATGAAAGTTTTTTCTTATTATGATCAAATTGAAAATGACCATGATAAAAAAAATTGTTATTTACCCTACATTTAGTATTTAGATAGAAGAAAACACAGCAAATTTTTACATGACAGAACACACAATATTGGGTTTGGAAACTGCTGATTCAGTTGGGGAGACATAGCTAAGACTAGCAAATTAAGATTGAACTGGATTTTAGTGTAAACACAATGATTTTCCTCTATGATAGCCCAACTTCTTCTGAATCAAGGACACTACACAAAGCATTACATGTTCCAATAAAATCAAATTGTTTGGTAGATACCTTTAATTGAAACCAGATGCTAATTTTGCTGCTTCTACTGCTAACAAACTCAATCAATTTCTAGCTCCTTCCACTAAAATTTATTAAAATGTAATGGCTCGATGATGTATACTCCTAAATTACCTGTAATATCATGAGTGTATGGACCACAAGGTGATGGTATCAGATAAGAAAAATCTTGCATTACCTTCTTTCAAATACTGCACTAGTGGCCTAAAGTAGCCAGCCTCGGCCATATGAAGTGCATTTTGAGAATTACTAGACAATATATCCAATAACTTTGCAGCATCATTTGAGGCATCAGGGTCATCCCCATTAAGGATAGCAACTAACATAACAATGCAGCCTTGAATTCTTCCGATTCGCCGGCGAACGGCCTGAATGTCGGAGAGCTCTAGCAACAGCCCTACTGCTTCCTTCCTCTCCTCTGAATCTCTTGTGAGTGACTTCACCACTGCTGATAAGAAATCAATATCTACCATCTTCTCCTGCAGTGAACTACTTTATAAAGCAAGCTAAAATAACCAAAGGTGCAAAGATTTAGACCAACAATTACAAGAAGCATCTTCTTAAGTTAAGGGTTTTACCTTTTTCTCATCATTTCCTGAAGCAATACTTCTTAGCAACCGCATGATTGCCAACCTGTTGTCTGCCTTACACGAGCCTAGACGGTTGAAAAGAATGGAAAGAGTTGCTTCCTCGTTGATCAAACCACCATCAAATCTTTCACTATCTATGAACTCCTTCAGTCTCAAAAGTGAAACTGCAAATTCTTCATCATTACCATTCTTAAGTTGCAAAACAACATCAGCAATAGAAACATTAACTATCTCCTCTTCTATTTCTGCAGTCAGCTTCACTTCACTGCCGGAAACCTCTGATTTTGGACTTGAAGCTACACTTAAACTGCCATCAAATCTCACATTCATCAACTGTCTTTGCAATGTACCAATCTTTTCTCTGAAATCCACGGAAATTTCTAGGCTGGCTACGAGCAGAAGGCCAAAGGATCGACCTATGTCATGTGTTATGTCCTCAATTTGCTTGATGGGTTGCCTCAAATTCGAGCTTTTTGTCAAAGCTTTGGCACGCCTCAGCTCATTCTCAAGAGATTCCAAGGATTTTCTTATAGGTGGCTTGTCCAAAACTGTGTTTTTGTCTCTCAAGTCATTGAAGATTGGTGAGAATTTCTCAACCAACATGGCAAACTCAGAAAAAATATGTACCTCAATTTCAGAGTTCTTAGCAAGAGAAGCAACCTCATCGGCCAAAACTATCAGCTCTGACAACAGTATAGAAAATTTTCTCTTTTCCACGATTTCCATCTTGTATGCGAAAACTGAGTTTATGCAGCAAAAGAAAAACCAGTCATCACTCACCGGTTACAGAAGATCCTCAATTACACACATATGTAGAGCATAGAGCTAACATAACAAAATATCAATACATAAACAAAGAAAACCATACAAATAACATAGACAGAAGAGAATAATCCAACAGACAAGCTGACTGGTTGACTTTAGAATCAAAAACTTGCTTAAAGTTGAAATTTTTCAGATACCCAAATCCCAAACGAGATCAAATCACCCCAGTTCTTCTTCTTCTTGGCTTTGAAAGCAGAAGGGAAAAACAAGTTGTTGCTTTTTTTCTTATGTTTGGTTTGGAATATAGCAAGGACAAGGTGTGTTGTGGGTCATTATCAGACGGCTGTGAGCTGTTAAATATAATAAGGTGGTGACATATGGTTTCTTTGCTTTGATCGTCATGATCACGTTGTGCTTCCAAGCAAGTGAAATTGTGAATGAATGATGGAAGACCAAGTCAAAACCTGAAGCACAAGAACTTCCTTCCCTCTCTCTCTCTCTCTCAGGACTTTGTACTTGGAAAGTGTTTTTGTGGTTGGATGCTTTTGCTTGGTTTTCAGTTTCATTTCCAACCATTTTTCTACTTTGAATGCTAACCAGACTTCTAGAGGGTGGGTGGGTCAAACACTCTAAACTCTGCACAGTACCCATCTGACTTCAGATTATAGCCTGTGGGCAGAAATTGCCCAAGCAAATGCCACATATTTTCTCACAAAACTATTATTAGTTTGGTTTTCAACTTGGTGATATTAGGACCACTAGCAGCTTCACAAGTTGGATAAAAATAAGCTTTTAACTACATCAAAGTTTGTGTTTAATAATTTCTTTATGATTATCAAGTTTTGTCAATTTTTAAAAGAAATATGATAGGGAACAATTTACTTTTAAAAAAAAAAAAGACCAATCACAATTCATTACTACGTGAGCATTGTAAAAATATTATTAAAAAAAAACATTTTTCATTTTAAAATCTTTATGAGTCAATTGAAGGTTTGAAGATTTATATTATTCATTAATAATTAAACATTATATCTATTAATTAGTTTTTTTTTAAATCTTAAAAGAATATATTAGATAATTAAAAATTATTAAACTAATATTTTGAATTATTCCAAAAAAGCGTAGTACATGGACTAGTTTTTTTTATAAGAAATTTTATATACAAAAACCATTTTTTTAATAATATATAAATTTAAACTTTTTAAAATTTATAAAAATGATATTAGAGGCGTTTTATGAATTAGTTTGGTTATAAAATAATTTAATTGATTGTAATTTTTTTCTTTAAGCATTTATGAGAATTTTGATCTATGAAGATCTTTCTTGGGGAATCTTATCTAAATTTTATACTTATTTAAATTTGATTATGATGAGTTGCATCTTTCTCGATATGAGTGTTCAGGAAAGGCAAAACTGAAATATCAATGCTTCAGTTTGCTGAATACATACACCAAAGTCAAAGTTCAACAAGAGTTAAAACATCAAATTAATTCTTAAAATATGGGTCGAAAAATTAGAGCTGGAGTGGCAAAATGTGTGTGGGGTCCACAAACCCTTCAAAATTTAGTAAATTGGGTTAGAATTTTTTCGTCTATTTTGACTTGTTCCGTTTAATCCGTGAAAATACGGTGATAGATTGAAAACGTGTAGAATGGATTAGTTATTTTCTAAATTAAAATAAAAATAATTTTTAAAATTTAATTTTTATACTATTGACTTATTTACATTTTAAGTTTTTGATCAAGTTTACGATCTTCATATTAAATTTTTTTGATTTATTGAATTTTCAAAACTTTAAAATTTTCAACGGAGTCTGTAATTAATTTTTTTAACTAAATAATGTGATTGTTAATTCGTTATAATTTCTTAAAAACTATTACCATTTAAAACTATTTCATAAACGTATACATATATTAATTTGTAATATAATTTTGATGTATATTTATTTATTTTTGTGACTTTTCTAAATTTAAAATTAGAACGAGTGTCAAAGTATTAATGTTGTAGATAAATGAAGTGAAAGAAAATGAATAAAACATTGTTAACTAGATTTTATATATTAAAATGAATAACAATAAAATAGTTTATATATTATTATAGATTTTATAATTTATTTCAATCATATTTTTTCTTATTGTAAGTTTATTGGAGGCCGATATCTTTAGTATAAGATAATATCCAAAGTTCTGTCAAAAAGATGGTAGAAAGTTCTTTACAAAATCATTGATAAGAAACAATTTGCAATCATTAAGGGTACGGAAATACTTGATATTACTGTAATGGGATTTTGAGAAAGCATACGATTCAATTAATTGAGAATTCTTTTTCATATGTTACAAAGATTGAGATTCGGTCTAAAAATTATTCTAGTTTTAAAAATAATGAATTTTTTTAATTTTAAAAATAATGAAGATATTTCTTTTTAAAATTGTGATTGAATCGAATAAAATTAACAAAATTTGGAACTAAATTGAATAAAAATAACGAAAATTGGAACTGAATTGAATACAAAACACAAATACATGACTTTGACAGATATTGACACTAACTTGACACATGACATTGACATTGTCACGTGACGCATAACTTGACATGTGGACAACTTTTTTAAAATTAAGAAAAATGACACACAATGTTTATCTAACGTTAACGATTTAGACGATGTCACGAAAAAAATCAAATTGAACATAAATTACGAAATTGAGACCATATTGAACACTCAAAGAAATTAAGTTCCACATTAAATAAAGTTGACGAGGTACCAAAAGAGTATTTAAGTCTTTGGTATATTTTTTTTCCACCATTCTTGTATTCTTTTCTTGTTTTTAACTTAATGATTATTGTTTGCATCTTTGATAGTACTCGTTGATTGAAAATAGTTTGGGAAATCTTGTTGAGATAAGACAATTAATAGATTTCACATGTTAGACATAGATGTGAAACAATTAGTCATTCATAACATTAGAATGTTGAACTTAATGCGAATTTATAATAAAAATTGCTAACACATTAGGGTTTTTATTGTTAAAATTTAGACTTATTCCTACGACATTAGGACTTGTTACATGAATCTTTAAGTAGGAGTTAGAAATATATTGTGTTGGTGTCTTTATATGGAATTAGATCATGAAACTCAATTCTGATTAAATCTTTACTGTATATTTCATTAAATCAATTTAATTGTTTTTTACAATTTTAGAATTATTTTATAATAAAATATTAATACTTTTTATTACTTGAAAGTTTTCTTAACTTTAATTAGTGAATAAATATAATTTTTACCGAGAGAAATTATACCTAAACTTATCCATTTTATTAGTTATGTAATTTGGTATAATTATCAATTATGTAGCATAATACATTAAGAACCTATAAAAATTTATCCAAAATAATATTTAACATGAATTTAATTGAATTGAGAAAATTACTTACTGGTCTCGTTAAGATTGATAATAAAATCTTAAAAAATAGATAATTAAGAATCTTTGGAGTAATTAAAAATTTAATGTGTTCGAAAATCTTATAAAAAAAGAAATGTTCTTAATTTCTCAACAATCATATAAAATAGAATAGGGAAGAGATAAGATATATGAACAACAAAATTTACAAAGAATGAAAAGAAAAAATATAGGATAAAGTCAGAAAGTGATGAGGAAAGAAAATTTTGAGTACAGAGTGACATATATAATCATTCACTTAATTGCAAGAGTGACATATATAATGATTCACTTAATTGCAATTTATATTAAGTGACTGTTTGGTTTCCTAATATAATTGGTAATGCTGAGCACTGATGATAACATGACAATGCAAACAAACAAAAATTTGGGCTGCTAAATTTTTTATCTTCCATTTTTACATGTTTTGGTGGGAACTTTGCTGATTAAATATACCAAAAACAAATTTATAATTTTTATTATAACGATGGTTTTAACTTTTAAGTACAAAGTTAACCACATCTTTTGGTGCAAACATATATAAAAGACAAAATGTTAAAGACACTAATTCATTTTTTTTAGAAAGAGTATTGATGCATCTTTATCAAGAATGAAAACGAATCTCTAATGCGTTCTTCAATAAAAATATTATGAGTATCAAATTATTGATCAACTTTTCAATAAAAAATCTATATGAAAATTGATACATTTTTGTATGGTTAGCTTTGTTGAATCATAATTAATTGGCCCGAAAATTATTAGTATCTAAATTAATTTTTATTATAAATAAAAAAAATTATATTTGATTTGTAAATTAAAGTCTACATTGGTTTATGATTTTCACTTATTCTATATCATTTGAGAAAAGAAATCAAGAGATTTGGTATCAATAAACAAACCTTTATAAAAGATCATGACACCATTTTCAACAAAAAAAAATCTTAAAACAATCATGTTACTCATTTTTACTTTTAATATGAGATTTTTAACTCTCTTTGAATTCTTAACATAAATTAGTTTCTAATTTAAAATTAAAAACTGATTTAAAATTAATATTAATAAGAAGCTAATAAGTTATAACATTATTTCCCGAGTGAAATAAGGAATGGAAGTGTATAATTAAAATAGTTGGATAACTGACTTTCACACAAATGGAAAAACTACAACTGGAAATTGGAGATACTAAATAATAGAGTTTGATAGAAATGGAACAGTAAGATTAACATCACATAATTATTTTAACTAGAGTACCAAAAGAAGGAAACATGTTTGAAAGTTCCATGGCTTATTGCAACAATTTTTTAGGACTAAAGTTGGTTCAATTTTTTCCTTTAAGTCTTAGGGTGAATTCCTTCAAGGAGAGAAGGATTTCCTTCAACCTGTTCTTAACATCTTCATCAATCAAGTCACCATCACTGTTAAACTTTGGTGGTGGCTGGAATACATTCAGGAAGAATTCAGGTTTGTTGATGAAATGAAGATCCAAAAACACTCCAATTTGGCGTAGATGATACTGTGATTTTGCTCCGCCATGCCCTCCTCCAGCACTTACTATTGCAGCAGCTTTTCCGGCCCAAACATTTGGTGGTCTTGATGCCCAGTCAATTGCATTCTTTAAAGGACCTGATATTCAATGTGTCCGTATAAATTTCGTTACGATAGACTTTAACCTTACTTTGATACATAATAAGAAATGAACTTTAAATTCAACTCAATTTCGTTACGATAGACTCTGAGCTAACTTTGATATCATAGTAAGAAATAAATTTTAAGCTCAACTCAACTCCATAAAACTGACTTATAAAATAAAATTTATATCTATTTATATATTCTAAATTACTCTCATGACTTAGAACTTCCGAACACAAGTCAGTATTTATGAAGAATGTTATGATATAGTTATTTATGATTTTGAGTTAAAATTTGACGATGATAAGAGAGGTGTGGAGTGACCTGTGACAGAGTAATTGTATTCAGGGGAAGCAAAGAGAACGCTATCAGCTGCAACAATCTTCTGCCGAAAAGCTTCAACTTCAGAGGGATAACTTCCATCTTTCTCAAGATCAGTGTTCAGAAAAGGCAAATCCGAAATATCAATGTACTCAATCTCGATGCCTTCAACCTCTCCTTTGCTCAGCTCAATACCTATGTCAAACCAAATTACAACACAGTTCAACCTATATATCATGCCAATTTTTCCATCTTCATCTTTCTTTTACATAATTGATCTAAGTT